GGTATATATAGCAGTGTGAGACGAAACGTTTGACGTATTTGGATGCTATTTTAGAGGTGTGGAAAATCGTGGAACTCGACTATACTGAGGTATAGTCATATGAGAGCACTTTGATTTCGGTAGATGTACCGGAATCACCATCGTCAACTGCCTATAGTTCACTCGGTTTCGTTGAAAAAGCGATTTATCAGTTGGGGTACTTCCCTCGTGAGCTCAGCTTTGTACAAATCGATCTTCACGGTTGAAAACGATATTTACTGTTTTATACCAGAAAGAACGATTGCTGAGAATCTGGTTCCAACACATAGAATTTAGAAAATTAAATTCACTACATTTTATGTTGCAGATTTAACTCTCAAAAATGCTTTTTTCAAAGGGAAAACACAAATCTCTAAAATATGTTCTGAATGATTTGATCACTCATCAACTACCACATGTCTGCCTGGTAGCTTAATTGGTTAAAACGCCGCGTACCTCAATTCTGAGTGCGCTGGTCAGCGAGTTCGATTCTAGTTAGGCATAAATTTTTTTTTTCGTATTTTTTAAGCTAGGTTAGAGCACCCGGTTAACCTGGCGCTCCAACCGCCCGGTTAACCTGGCGCTCCAACCGCCCGGTTAATCGAGCACTTTAACCGTTCCAACCGGCGCTCCAATCACCCGGTTAAGCCGGCACTTCAATCACTCGTTCAACCGGGCACTCGAACCGCCCGGTTAACCTGTAGGCTAACCTAGTTGATCACCTCCCTCTAATCAAATATTTTTCGGATCTAGCTTAACTGGGCAGTTAACCTAGATGTCAACCTCCTACTCCTCGATTATGATAACCTACTGCTCGGTTCACGACTAGGTTGAAGCTAGCTAACTAGGTAAAAAGGTACATTTACCTAGATCCGTCAAGTGAATAACCGCGCGGTTATGTAGCCGATGGAGCTAGATTCTCTCCGCAGAGAATTTTTGCTCGGGATTATACGGACGTTATTTTTCGATATATGACTAATATATAAAGATGTCATTAGTTAGATAAGTTTTACCTGCAACGCTGTAACCCATAAGATTCGATGAAATGATAAGAATAATTGCAATTAAAAAAGAAATTTGTTTTTGATAAAATACTCTTTGAATGACAATAATATCAATGACGGATGGTGTATATGCAGCAAATGCCATAACACATATTAATACATGTTCTTTAATTGCAAATGGCTGAGGATTTAATGAAAATTCGAATTTTTTAGACCAAATAAAAAATAATCTTTTTGGTAGTATAAATGACAGCGATTTTCCAAGACAATATGAATATAGAAGAACAAGAATTGGTACAAAATAAAAACTAGTTGTTCGATAATAACCGTATCTATTTATACATGATATAAAGACAGTGAAAAAAAGTCCAAGAATCCAAGTACGAAATGTAAAACACATTATTAGTGGTTCATCTTTATTTGATACAACTGATGCTATTTCTTCATACGATGTTTGAGCAGCATCAATATAATCATTTTCTGCATTAATTGTACTTTGAAAGGAGTTGTCCGTTGAGGATTGTGAATTTGGACTATTTAATGATGGTACTTGTTGTAAGTTACTTGTTAAAATTTGGGAAATAGTGCGTAGTTCTTCATTCTGATTTGATATTTTGCCATTCAGATCAATATGTTGCTGATCTAAGCCATTATCTTTTGAATTTGGTAAAATAGAGTAATAATCACTGATGGCTATTTCATCGCTTTCTGATGCTCCCAATTTCGATTTCTTATAATAATGCGACATACAACTACTGTAATTGAGTAAACGTATGGTAGAACTTTAACTTGACAACTGAAGAGTAATAAAACAAAATAAAAATCAATACGATGTCTTACAAATCTTTCTTTCTAACTTAAGAAACGAACAATAGTGCAATAATAAAACGAGTAGAACAAGGGAATAAAGAAACAAACATTAGCTAGGCATTCTAATACGAACTAAACGCACATTATTCACGACAATATTGACGTCATATGGTTGGGTAATGACGCATTTTTACACATGGGAACTACCTCCCAGTGTATATAATGATACATATTACGTGATAATTAAAAATAGATAAATAACGGAAGGTATATATATTTTAATGTGCAGGTCGTTGTTCCACATGAATAGATATATTAACATTGTTAAGTGAGATATGATACTGCAGGTATTTTTTCTTTTGATTCTGTTTTATTGCCATAATGATTTAAGTAAATGTCTCGGTTGTTTATTTGTACATGTCCCCAATACACCGAATATCTGCTGTATTTTGTACAATAGAAGGTCGAATATACTTGGATGCATGACAGAGCTTCGTATGGATTAAAAAAAATTTATCCCAATCCAATCAATTGAATAATTGGTCTAATGAGCTTTTCGAATTTATTTATTTGTCCGTTTCGTGTCTTATGAACTCTAATAAAAATGACTTTTATTAATGAATTTCAAGTAAAACTATTTCATCTTTTTAAATAAATCCACGCAAAAAGTGTTAAAATCTGTTCATGAACAAACGGCACATAGTCACCATGTGTTTCTTTTATTTTAACTATCGTTTGATGAACCATTTCATACGTTCGTTTATAGATATACAAAACTCATATAGAAATAACATTTCTCTTTATACCTTTTTATACATTTTTACACAATATAATTACTGACAGTGGCTGAGTCTATGGTTTCGCCAATATGCGGGTCCAATCCATACGGAGCTCTGGTGCATGCAGTTACTGTGCGTTTTAAATCGTTTCTGTTAAGGTATTATATGTTACTTTTCATTCTCAAACTAGTTTTAAATTTTGTTGTTAAACTGGCAACACCATACACTGTCCTATTTCCCACTATGATAATTTGTCCAATGATTTTTCTTCTTACGTGCACAATTTACTCACGTATGGAAGTTAAATCATTTCTCAGTTATACTCAAAACACCAAATCTGATTCGACTGCTTCTGCAAGATTTATGGGACCGAGAATTTAGCAAGATTCCACTATATATTCGGTAGCTGATGTTCGAGTTATGCAGAAATCCATGTTTATTTAGAAAAAATCACGCCTCCTGGCTTAAATAGAATTCTTAGAAAGCTCACTTTTTCTAAAAGTCTACGTAAGAAGTGCTTCTCGTTTTGTAGAAAAAATCAAAGATAATCATTGAATATAGCGGATAAAGTTGTAATTGCCGCAATTTTCACAGTTATATCTCAACAGGTGAATTCACGATCATGTAGAAAAGTGACCCATAATCATGCGTTGTCTACTGTTCCTAGGTGTGGCTAGAGCTTCTCTACAGTTAAAAAATGACTATAATTATAAATTCTGATGGCCTCAGCTTTTCGAAAAATAGTCCTTTGTTCAACAGAATATGCTTGCTGACTACTGACACGATCATATTTGTCCAGATTAAATATGAATGATTTCTACACAAATCGACCCAAGCTACAAGATGCGCACAGTTTTACGGCACTGAACACGAAACTTCTTCGATCAAATAGATGTGTGAAACATTACGTAAAGGACCTTTTTTTTAACAATTTAAGGCGCTACCTGATATATAGTTAATCAAACAAGAGATACAAATCAATTTGTGTTAACAATGTATGATCACTTAGAACAACAACGAACACATAAGAGCTTGTTAAAGAAAATCCATTCTTCTGCTATACATCCAGTTTCTCAGATGATCATTTTCATTCTTCTCTTATTACCACTATTATTCTCGGTAGTGTTCGTTTGGATTATTCCAACTGTTAGTATTTGTGGCAAACTTTATGTGGTCAAAAATGGAGATTCATGTTGGTCAATTGGAAAGGCAAACTCGATAACAGTTCAACAAATTCAAGCACTTAATCCTCAGGTGGGTTCAAATTGTAGTGTACCGATTGGTCAATCATTATTATTACAACCACCGTGTACACCTCAATGTGGTGCAGTTTATACAGTAAAAGAAGGTGATTCATGTTGGACTATTTCACAGAACAATTCACTAACTATCGCACAAATTCAGGCACTGAATCCTCAATTAACTTCAAATTGTACTGTTTTTATCGGTCAAATATTATTTTTACAACCAGCGTGTAATAGTGGTGGTTCAACATCAACAGCAATGACCACCATCTGAAATCGATGATTCAAATTCACCCCTTTATTCAAACACGATGAATATTTGATTGTATCATTGAATCGAAACTGTATTGTCGGCAAACCGGAAAATAACACAGCAAATAAACTGTATGAATAAGATGATAAACAAAAAATTCTGAGTGAAATTTCTCTAATATGAACTTAAATTTGCTTAGTTCTTCGCATACATAATGGAGGCAAAACAAAACACAAAAACACAATAAAAAAATATACATTGAAGGATAACATCGAGTCATTGCACAACTTCAATCATTGTGCAGAATATAGGAAAGAACAGCGAGGTTAATTTTTGCAGTTCGTCTGCAAAGATCAAGTTCGTGTGTTTAATCCTAGCTTCGTGCAAGGATTGATTTTGTGTTTTGATAAGTTTAAGTTTCAGAATGATATAATGGGAATTTATATTCTCAATTTCGTTCTGGTTCAAGATTACAGGCTTAAACCTAATGGAGAGAACACTTCTCTTTTTTCACAAGTAAACTTATGTATAACTACTTGATCTTTCACTTGCTGGATACTCGTTCATATAATTGCATGATGCATCGCATGTGATTCAGTTACTCGCTTAGATAATATCGTCAGCACTTACCCTTGTTTCCAAGTGAAATAACAAATACGCTGTTGAGAGAATTACACCGTAAAGAATAATAACAGCTACTGATTTCGTATTCTGAATGATTCTCTTAGACTTGTAGCATACGATATTATAGTCTAGCGTTTTTTATAGGGTTAATGTTGTTATGTGACTCCAAAGGACCTCCTTCTATATATTCATCAGATTTTTCACGTAAGAACAAACTGAAATCATATTATATAAACAAATTATTGGGAATCGTGCTCCTTAAGTCTACGAAACCCTAGTATTCTGTTTTCCCACATAACTATCCTTGCAGTTGCACTATTCGTCAGATAAACTATATATGAGTGTAGATGTTTCGGAATTTTGTCTTTCGTTTGAAAGAGAAGATTGCGTCGCTGGTGACGGCCTTGAACTAAGGGCGTCGCTGGTGACGGTTTTGATACAGATTCGATACCGCGGACTTATGTTGTACAGAAAAGACAAAAGTAGAGAAAAAGTATAGAAAGTACAAGAAAACTGCTCTCTATTGTCCATTCAGCTTTTGTTAAATTTGTATTTTTTAAATAATCTTGAAAGAATTTTTCAGTAAAACCGGAACGTCAGCAAACAAATAGACAATGATTAAATCAGCTGCTGTTATATTAGTACCCTTGATTCCTTCTCAGCGATTGCAACTAGTTTTTCCAAAACAAACTAGTTATGTGCGGTGTAAACAGTATGATTTAGCGATTCTATTGCTCGACACACTCTTTGCCGGAACCTTGACGCTAACAGGTTATATAATAAATGATTAGTAACGATATGGGTGACCATGCCAGAAGCTTGTTAGCTTTAAGGAGACTTGTTGAAAGTAACAATTGTCAGCACCCTACAACAGCAGAGCAACACAATACACTCATTATTCTCTTATCGAGAATCACGATGCTGACAACAGTCTAATTAATAAAAATATGGTCACAACATTTTGTATGAGATTGATCAAATCGAAATCAATCACTATAATTAGTTTTTGGATTTTATTTGTGACTATTAAAGTTTCAATTTTCCCTAGTTCGTTTAATCATGATCCACATTCATTGTTTGATTTCAACAAATGATACATATAAGAAGGAGAACTTTGAAAAAATATATTAATTGTTTATGTTGAACCTATGAGTGGGACGAACGTAGATACATACAGTCATATAGCAGTGTGATCGACGCACATGTGAATAGTGATTAAGTGTGACTACATAGTGACTAATGAGTGTGACGGCCGTACATGCATACAGTCATGTGGCAGTGTGACGGACGCCCATCTAAATAGTGACCAATTAGCGACACGAACGTACATCGGCACAGTGAATAATGAGTGTGACGAACGTAGATACATATAGTCATATAGCAGTGTAACGGACGCACATGTAAATAGTGACTGAATGTGACGGATGTACATCCGCATAGTGACTAATGAGTGTGACGGGCGTACATACATATATACATACAGTCATGTGGCAGTGTGACAAATGCACATCTACATAGTGAATAATAAGTGTGACGGACGTACATCCACATAGTGAGTAGTGAGTGTCACGGGCGTACATACATATAGCCATGTGGCAGTGTGAGGAACGCACATCCACATAGTGACTAATGAGTGTGACGAACGTATTGCGGATATTTCCCTATGGACCGAAGGGAGGTGTGAGGGTTGTGTTTGACTGAAAGTCCACATGGTTCGTTCAGTATTGCTGTGAGGAACATGCATACACACATACATTTGAATATTGTGTGACCGACATACCTACACGAAGACATTAGCGTGACGGACGTACATGCACACATACTGTGGCTAGCCGTATAAAGGTTTTCTCAAACGTTACTATATAGCTCAAAAACCGGTGGTCTAGTTTTCTAGAAAACTCTTAGAAGTACAACATATTCCAAAAAAGTTTTTATTTTTTCAGAAAGGAAAAAGGAATTTTTCGGAATAAAATCAGACTATTCTTAGATTTCTCTGGCTGTTATTCATTAAGTTAGTTTAGTTTAGTTTAAATTTTTGTGCACTGAAAAAAGGTGACATGAGAATAATCATTCTACACTGATGCGGTCTAGAGCATTGTTTCAGTGGAAAATGACATTGTAAATGATATAAGCTATTACGGGTAAAAAGCACGAAAAGTAAGAGACAAGAAAGGAAAAAGTGTGTAAGAAAGAGGGCAAGCAAAATAAATGATGTACGCTAAAACTTACAATATTGTACAGACTTTAAGCAAAAGCGTAAGAATAGTTTTGAGAGCATAACAAATTGATATGATTAGTTTAATATTTAAAACGTTTGGTAGCAATTATGTATTCGATCACTGATCTTACTGCAAGTATATAGAATTCCTTCTAAAGAGGTACACGAGTAAAGGAAAGAGCCAAACTAAGGAAATTGCCGTTGAGTAAGAATCGTAAATTATAATATAAATGATTTCTAGAGAAAATATAACGAAGACAGTGAAGTAAACAATGTTGTCGTGTTTCTATTTCGCCACATTGGCAACGATTAGTATCAGATAAATGCTTTAGATAAAGATCAGCATTCAACTGCGAAAATTCAGATCTTATTTGGTAGTACATGATATCAACTTTTCTTGGAGTCTTGTAAACTCGATAAACAATTGAATTAGTCTGCATATGTGGTTCAAAAATAGCTAAAGTTTTAGATTCTTTTATGTTTTATAGTAGACCGTTTCATTCAGCGATAGTAGAAATAAAGAAACTAATGTCGAATATTCCTCTATGAGCCTGGATAGAAGGTAAGTCCAGATTATTTTGACATCTTGTGGAATATTGATGAGTTATCTTACTTGGTAAATATAAGGATAAATATAGAGGAACAAGTCCGTCAATTATGTTATAAAATAATTCCAACAAGAAAACTTTCGTGGTCGGAACACGAAGAACAGTTAGCATCGTCTACTATGAATGTATAGTAGCCCCAACAGTGATTTTAATGATTATGAAAGGGATATAGGAAACAAAGAAAATGAAAGTTAAAAATCTTTTTTGTCTCTTCCATTTATGATGTGTCAGCTGTTTTAGTTTTCTGTTGCTATGCTGAAAAGTAATATGACTTCTCTTCACTAGATCCGAAATAATTATCTTATGAAAATACAAAAATTCTGCTGGAAAAAGTTAATATTTAGCAATAATCCAGTAAAATTCCCAATTGCCAGAATCCCGACGATTAATCAATATAGTACATATATGAATCAGAGTATAGAGACTCTGTATCGAAGAAAATCCCAGTTCCAAAGTATTCACAAATATCCATACAGATATGAATACAGATACGGACTCTGTATAGACTAAAACCCCGGAATCCCAAATACAGACTATTTGTATTCATATATGTATGTATATTTATGAATACTCTGGATTCTGGGACTTTACTCGATACATAGTCTGTATCTGGATGCATATACCTATATACGTTCATGTATACTCGAGATTCTACCATTTTCGAATTTTACTCGCTACACAGACTGTATGTGTATCGGTTCAGTGCCTCTATCTGTACCTGTATGCATATTTATGAATACCCGGATTTCTGCGATTTTACTCGATACCGAGTCTGTATCTGTATTCATATATGTGTGTTTATTTTTGAATACTCTGCGTTGTGGGATTTTACTCGACGCAGAGTCTGCATCTGTGTCTGCATTTATATATATATATATATATGCATATTTACGAACACCCGGGATTGTGGAATTTTGGGCTTTTACTCGGTACAGACTCTGTATCTGTATTTTGAATTGTACGTTGACTTATGAATACTGTAGATTAATTAATTCGGTCGATATAGAGTCTGCACCTACTTGTATATGTATGGATCTTCTTGAACAATCGGGCTTCTGGAATTTAGGAGTTTTCTCGCAGAGTCTGTATCTTTACTCATATATGTACGTATTTTTATAAATACAGAATATTCAACGAAAAAAATTGTTTTCAAAATAACCATTTCGAATATCTTTGTTGATTCAATCTTGTTGGAACTACATGACTAGTTATAATCAGTTCTTAATTAACATTACTGTAATTTTAGATTTATTTCGTTGACTATAAGTCAGGGTCTTAAACCCAAAAATGCTTCTCGTTGTATATGTATATATATATGTTTGCTGTGTCATGTGTTTTCTTTTATTTCCTTCTTATATTAGACATGAGCGGTCACTACCCCGACCCACGAACGCGGTCCCGGATCCAGCAGAAAAATACGTCGGGTGCAGGCCTGAGTTCGAACTTTTCTATATTCCTCCATTTTCTATAGAGGTGAGGGATATGAGTACCTTTTGCGGCCACTATAATCTAACGAAGAGACATTTCACTTTTTTCTAGATACCTTGGGACAAATCTGTATCATCTGCTAT